TCAGAATGATTTGATAGTTATCCAGTTGTGTTCTAGGGATAGGCAAGCATAGGGTCCATATGCTGCCATCTTAGCTTGCAAATCCGCTTTGTTTTCTTAAATTCCAGAAGAGCATAATACAGAATCCTGATGGTAAAGGAAAAGTCCTTAAAGTAGAAGTACTCAAACCATAGTATGTGGTTAGTTCTCAGCTTTCCTAGAAGTTCTTTCTAGAGAATTTTTAAAAATTTATTTATTTATTTTTAGAAGTTTTTAAGAGGAAGAGTGCAAGCGGGGGGAGGGGCAGAGGGAGTGGGAGAAACAGACTCCCCACTGAGCAGGGAGCCTAATGTGGGGCTCGATCCCAAGACCCTGAGATCACAACCTGAACCGAAGGCAGACGCTTAACCGACTGAGCCACCCAGGCACCCCGAGAATTTTTTTAATTTTTTTATTTGAGAGAGAGATGGAGAGAGAGCAAGCATGAGCCAGGGAGGGGCAGAGGGAGAGGAAGAGAGAATCTTAAGCAGGCTCCAAGCTCAGTGTGGAGCTAGTTGCGGGGCTCGATCTCACAACCCTGAGATTATGACCTTAGCTGAAATCAAGAGTATCAAGAGTTGGATGCTTAACCAACTGAGCCACCCAGCCCTCCCCCCCGAAGTTCTTTTCTTTCTTTCTTTCGTTTCCTTTTTTTTTTTTTAGGATTTATTTACTTATTTGAGAGAGGGAGAGAGAATGTGTGCGTGCGGATGCACGTGCAAGTGGAGGGAGGGGTAGAGGGACAGAATCTTCAAGCAGACTCTACTCTGAGTGGGGAGCTTGACATGGGGGCTTGATCCCAGGAGATCATGACCTGAGTGAAACCAAGAGTCCAGCGCCCAACCGACTGAGCCACCCAGGCGCCCTTAGAAGTTCTTAGTTATGATTTTATGATTCCTAATTATTAGTTGAGTTATGAAGTGAACAGCCAACAAATTTAGAAGGTTTCTGAATTAATACAACCTAAAGCAATTGGTTCCAGGGGGGGATCAAGTCCCATGACTTTTGCTATCATTTTATTTTTCCATTTCCCCAAGCATTTAGTGGGAAATGGATTTAATTCTATTCAAATATATCTTTGCTTTTTATCATTTTCACTGTTCTAAGAAGAATAGATTTCTATACTTATATGATTGCATATTTCCTTTAGTCATTCTTACTGTGCCTAATATTTGAAAGCATAATGATGAGAAAAATTTTTAGAAACCTAGTCCATTGACCTACTTGATTTCACAAGTAACTTCTGAACCTGAATTTCCAGTTCCTAAATTTTCCTATTAACTTTATTTTAAAAGTTTGAGTCATATAGAGCTTAAAGACTCTACAAATACTTAAATGAATTAGGCTCCTGAATAATTCTGATTTCATGTCTTATGGTTACTTTAACTTTTTTTGTGGTAAAATACATAACATAATTTGACATTTTAATCATCTTTAAGTATACAATTCAGTGGCATTGAGTACATTTACATTGTTGTGCATCCAGCACTATTCTCCATCTTCAGAACTTTGTCATCATCCTATACTGAAACTGTATGCATTGATAAAAATTCCCCATTTCTCCCTTCCCTCCAGCCCCTCAGAACCACTGTTCAACTTTCTGTGCCCAGGCCATTTGATTATTCTAGGTACGTCAAATACGTAGAATCATACAATATTTGTACTTTCGTGCCTGGCTTGTTTCACTTAACATAATGTCTTCAAGATTCATCCATGTTTTAGCATGTGTCAGAGTTTCCTTCCCTCTTGGATCATATTCCACTGTATGGATATAACACATTTTGTTTATCTATTCATCCATTGATGGACACTGGGTTGTTTCTACTTTTTGGCCATTATGGGTAAGGCTGCTTTGAATATTGGTATACAGATATCTGTTTGAGTCTCTGCTTTCAGTTCTTTTGTGTATGTACCCAGAAATGGAATTACCAGATCAAATGGTGATTCTATGTTTAACTTTTTTTTTTTTGCCAACTTTGTTTTAAACTTCTTTAATTTTTTTGATCCTTTTTTCTTATATCTCATTTATTTTATATCTGTGTGTGTAAAATGAATGTGTAGAAATCATGCAGTTGTATTCTGAGGGGAAGATACTACCTGGAAGTATGCTTTGTGTACCCATAATTTATCTATTTAAAAATGCATTGGTACAAGTATAGAGTACCATGTTTTGTCTACTAGTTTGGAATCACCTTTTGCTTTTTGCTACTCCTACTCTCAGTACTGCTTCAGGTATCTGGTAGCAATGTGTAGAAAAATACTAAGATGAAGTACTTTTATTTTTTATTATTTTTTTAGGATTTTATTTGACAAAAAGAGAGTGAGGGAACACAAGTGGGTGGGGAGGCGGGAGAGGGAGAAGCAGGCTTCCTGCGGACCAGGGAGCCCCATGTGGGGCTCGATCCCAGGACCCTGGGACCATGACCTAAGCCAAAGGCAGATGCTTAATGACTGAGCCACCCAGGCACCCCAAGATAAAGTATTTTTAGATCCTGTTTACCTTTTTTAAGCTTGTTTAGTGGCCTTCTTCAGTACCATCTCCAAGGGAGGCATATCTGAGTTTGGATAAAGTTGGCTAAGGAACAAAGGGAGGGGTATTTTTGTGGCTCTGAAGCCCGTGCTCTTTCTGTTACACAGCAGCCAGGTTCCCTTTCCTTTTGTTGTGAAAGAAGTCTTATCAGAGAGTAGATTTCATTTATCTGTAATTTAGGTTTGGTGAGAGAAAACTGGTGAGCTATTTTAGCATAGAATGTACAGAATTGGCCATCGATCTTGGAAGGATGAAATGGGCATTCTGAATACATTTCTAAAGAAGGCTACAAGTACAAAGCTAGTAACATGGGAATGACAATCCCTACACATTGCCATGGCTTTGCTGAAATTAAAAAAAAAAAGTTTGAAAATTTTCCCCAGAAAAATGATACTTTGTGATTTAAAAATGTATTTGCTATCTGCTGAACTTAACCTTGAAGTATTTTTCTATAAAATACGAACTCTAGTAAGAAAGTGGTGTCTACCAGTAGTCAGAGGGGTAAAGAAGGTAAGAATAGCTTTTTTAAAAGATAGAGGCCAATGAAAAATTCATGTGAGAAGATTAATTGCTCTGGTCATGTTATTGTTTAGAGCTTGAGGTTGGCAGATACACGTTTAGGGTTTGTGCTACTAAAAGGCCAGCGAGGCATACTGGGAAAGTGCCAAAATTGGGGTAGTTGAATAAGTGTTAACTCTTAAGCTGTCTCCTCTTCTTAGAAGCCTGCCGGGATCTTGCCGGGGAAAACGAATTGCTCTCTACTTCATGCTCCTCCCCTTAGCGTTGTGTTTCCATGTCCTTCAACTAGATTGAGGACTTCTTTGGGGCAGAGATGTCACATCTTACCCTGTATTTTCAGCACTGAACATAATTGCTTCCGTACAATAGACCCTTTTAAACATTGGCTGAGTCTCTTAATGTGAGACTTGGGCACAAATACAACACCACGGGAAAAGCAGCTATTGTAGTTATCAGGGGGCAATCTGAATCACAGTTAGGATGTGGCTGAGAACAGAGGAAACCACTGCAAGATAGAAATCACTGAGGAGATTTTTAAGTTTCATGTGGTACATCAAGCTTTTTCCTTGTCTCATTTCCTAGATGCGTAGGTCCATGGCCTGAAATTCTTCTATTTATTTAGCAGACATCTATTGAGACATGGACGTTGTGGGGGTGACAGAAGCGTGTAATTTTGTTTTGTATTTCTTAATATTTTTTTAGAGAGAGAGTGTGCACACAAGTGGGCACAGGGAGGGGCAGAGGGAGATGGAGAGAGAGAGAATCTTAAGCAGACTCTGCTGAGCATGGAGCCCAATGTGGGGCTCCATCTCATGACCCTGAGATCGTTACCTGAGCTGACATGAGGCTTAATGGAGCACCGTGAAGTCCTGGATGGAGGGAGGTGGCCTGCAGCTGTTCATATGGAGCAAGTCCTGGGAAATAAGGGGGAGATCTGACTGGGAGGAACCTTATTTCTGTTTCTGCTTTTCTTCTCTCTCTCTTGTCTTTGTGCTAGTCTGTGGAATTTTGCTTTAACCAGAAGTAATGGGGAGCCAGGGGAGGGCTTTACACCGCTTACTGATATGATCAGAAACGTGTTTGGAAAGGCAGATTGGCAATCCTGTAACATTGTAGAAGGGAATTATAGGGCAGCTTCTGGAGGCAGGTAGGTGAATTTGAAGGCAGTTGCAGTTGTAGTGTTCAAACAAGAGATGAAGAGTTCCTATTGTGTAATTTCACTGATATGAAATTTCGAGAATGGGCAAATTCGTAGAGACAGAAAGTACCATTAGTGGTTTCCAGGAGCTGGGAGGAGGGGGAATAAGGGGTGCCTACTAATGGGCATGGTGAGGAACATATCCTGGAATTAGATGGTAGTGGTAGTTGTGCAACCTTGTGACTGTAGTACTGAAAGCCACCAAATTGTCTAGTTGTAAGTGGTGAATTTGATGGTATGTGATTTGCATGCTAGTTTAAAAGGAGAAAGATACGAAGAGTTCCGGAAACAGAAACAGCATAATGGCCGTGGGGGTGAGAGAAACCCAGCGGTAGAGAATTGGCAGTACTTTAAGACTGGATATTGGCAATGTCCAAAATGAAATAGAGGCTGGTTCTGAAGTTTCTAATTTGTATGACTGAATTTTGATAGGGAAAGAAATTTTGGAAAAAGTGAGTTTGCAGAGACATAATGAATTGTGTGAAATGTTTTGAATGTGGAATCAAGGCAAGCAGTTAAAAATAAAGGCGCAGATTTCAGGAGAGACTCTGGGCTAGAACAAAGAAACGAGTGTACAGGAGCTGACTGAGGCGGTCACACAGCTGAGCGAGAGGGTATCTTGTCCGCCCACCTGCTATGGACGGTCATGTCCCATCTGCTCCTTACCCTCGCAGCTGGTGTGCAGGTTGTTGTTGTTGTTCGTAAATAAAGCTGAATCTTTATATTACATTTCAGGCAGAGGCAAGGCTGGCAGCAAAACGGGCTGCCCGGGCAGAAGCGAGGGATATACGCATGAGAGAACTGGAGCGACAACAAAAAGAGGTAATCTAATCTGGAGGGGATGATCCTCATTCTGTGCTAGTCTCAAATAAATTAATACTTGGCTAGTTTCCTTCTGAAATAAATCTGGTTCCTGTTGAAACACTGGGAATAGTATAACCTGATGTGTATATTTTAACAAGCCATTCTATGTCAGCAAATTAAATAAAATATTTGCTTTAAATAATAACGGCAAACATAAATAGCTCTTACTGTATGCATTGTAGCAAGTTGTTATGGTGTGATGAGTGCTTTACTTATATTAGCTAAAGTCAGCTTAGAGATGACAAAGTTATTTACTATAGTCCTAACTGTCTTAGAGTTTAGGTTAATTATAATTATGATATCTACATAGTAAAACACTGAAGTCATTCAACCTTAAGTTTTGAAGCATATTTAATAATGGAGGAAGATATTCATGCAAGAAAATTAAAAAAACAACAATTGTTAAGACTGGTAGGATTCCCATTGTGTTTTACAAAAACTAGTATCATATATAGGGACAAAAACTACTTAGAAATGATTACTGTTAATACTTTGGTTTGTCAGTGGTGGAATTGATTAGTTTTGTTTTTTCTTCGTGCTTTTTTGTAGATAAATTTCAATACATTTTTATCGTCAGAAAGAAAAGCAAAAAATAGAAAAATAAAATAGGCATATAGAAATTGGGCTGCTTTAAAAGGAAATAAATACTCTTTTTAACTCTTTCCTTCTGACATCAAACTGACTCTGAAAATTCACATAAAAAATATTTCTGATGCCATATTGGTATAAAGGGGAAAAAGCCTGCAGGATATTATTAATAGTATCAAACACTTTATTTTGATGTTGGTGGTGGACTGCTACTAATGTGTTGAAGAGAACTGTATAGATTTTATTCACAGATCAAAAACTAAACCAAAAAACAGTTGATACCTATGTTGCTATTTTTGTTTTTGATCTCATACATAGTTTCAAATATTGAATGCAATTCTTGGCTTAAAATGAAAGTGTTGCAATGCACTGTCTTTTATACTCCTAAAATTATAGTAAAATTATAAGGAGATTGTTGCTAAGTATAAATTCCATTTCCTCTAAATTGCAGAAAGCCATATATCTCTTCATTGTTGAGCATATTTAGCTTAGTAATTATCTGTATTTTGAATGTGTAGCTTATGTTGAGCTAACGATCACTGCTCTTCAGGGCAAATGTATAGGATTAATTTAAGACTTTTCAGATCATGCAGTATGTTGGAAACTTCAGTTGATGAAACTTTTGCATTTGTAGCACTCTCATTATTCCTTTGATCGGAAATGGGGACAGATTCAGAAGTGGCTGGTAGGCCAGGATTGCCTGCCCTGCATGTTGTGATCAGTTGCTGAAATAATGCAATCTTGAAGTAAAACATTGACTAATAGTTTGCCAAATAGGAGTGTTTGCCATGTTTGAACCTAAAGGTCAGAGTGTGTCTCTTCTGTCTGTAGTGGACCAAATATGTACTTGGAGTCCATCCATTTTCTGTTGTAGTCTACAGCCTCACACTTTTGTCATGAATGCTCTTGACCAAGAAAGACTGAGTAAATGGATGTGTTTTCTTTCTCTGAGTTTGTTCTTGTCTCCCTCAAATTTGTCCCCCTCTCCTTTCCCTCTCTTTCACTCCCTCCTCCCCCCTTCCTTTCTCTCTTTTTTAAAAACTAGGCAGAAATGTCCTCACTGAGAGATGACCCAAGTCATTCTTTAATTTTCTATGAAAATTACTCTTATGTTTTCACTTCTCTCAGTTCCTTTTCGAATCTTCTATCACCACTCCCAAATTTTTAGTTACAAGAGCAAATCGTGAACCAGTAAAATATTACTTATTGGGAATCATTCCTAAATTTGAACTTTTTTCAATGTTGGTGATTTCACCAGCTGTCTCCTATTGCAGAGGTTCTTCCTCCATGTGAATAGGCTTGGGAGATGGAGCAGGAAGCCTTAAAATCTCACGCAGACTTTTGAATGTATGTATATTTTTAAGTGAAATGCCCCACAGGTGTTATGAACACAAGATTCTCAAGGGAGTCTGTGATCCCTAAAGGGTTAGGAACCACTAATTGCTATTAAACAAGAAATTTTTATAAGCAAATTCCTTCTGTAGCAGCATTTTGAAGTACAACCAGAATTAAAATATTTATGAGTGTAAAAGATATTTATGACTGTACTGACCTACAGATTTAAAACTTTGTCATACTTCTCATTGTGATATTTTAGAAAGGAGAGAAAGATGATGTTTGGTTACTTATAATTAAGTGATTCCTCATGAATGTGTTTGTTACTTTGGAGTAGAATCTGTCCTTTCTTGTTACTAAAGCTAGCCTAATTGGTTTTATTTAAAGTGTCTTCTGCATGAAACTGGGTTATCTTACTGTTGATGCATTAAGAACATTTTGTGTGAATAAAAGAAATCACTTTTGCTTGCAAATTTTCCATGGAAATATTAATTTCATTTTTAAAAATTATGTATTATAGATCTAAAATTAAACTGCCTGAGATTTTATCTTAGGGCGCACCAAAACGTTAAATAAGAAGAAAAGCCTTTATTGAAAGTCTCATATTCCAAGGCCGTAAAGTTAAAAACATATTTTTTATCTCTGAAATGTGGGCAGTTCAGGAAGTGAGTGCACTAGATTTTCATGGAAGGGTGAGCATTTGGGGTTTAGAGGTTTAGAATGCAGATGGTGACTAACTCAAGTTCTGAGTGATAGCTCTGGCTGGCAGAGAACATGGATGGGGTTTAGTTTCAGGTGGGAATGATTATCACTTAACCCCTTCTGACACTTGCTTTTACTCTTTTCAAACTAATTTTTCCTTTCACTTTTCAGCTTATTTGTCTCTCTGGCTGCATTCTGTCTATGAGCCTGTAGTAGAAGTTGGCAAGTTGTAGTCACAATATATAAGATATAAAGAACAATAAATTTATAATAAAATAATGCATATACAAATAATAGGGTTGTCAGTTATCAGAAGGAAAAATCTACCCATGTTAAACATTTCTCCTAATTTTCACACTTTCTGGTGTGGGGGTGGATGTTGAGGGATGTGAACAGGAAAAGCCAGGGCATGAGGCTCCGGGAATGAAGCTAACAAATGAATGCGATTTGTATGCCAGCACTGTGCTAGTGGTTTTTACATATGTCTCCATTTCACATGATAAGATAGGGACCACCATCTCCATTTTACAGATAAGGTAATGAAGGATTGGTGAAGCCAACAACTTGCTCAGTCATTGGCAGAGCCAGAATTCAAAGGTCAGAGAGCGTGCCACAGCTGCTAATGGGTTGGAAGGTGAAAGGACCAAGATGAAAGGGCCCAAGTTTTTGTAGGCCTTCAGATAGCCCTAGTGAGGCCAGTGTTTCTGTTTTTAAACCGAGTGTCTCCATCAGCATGTCGTAACTTGGAAGAGAATGTGCGACTTCTGAGGTTTCCTAATTTGAAACTGAGGGAATGGCTCTAGCCTTGACTTAAATATTACTTGTTGACAGAGAACAGGGCCAGGTGTTTTTAGTGGGCTGTGGTCTTCTTTCATTAAAATCACTTCATCCCCACATCAAGTGAATTTTTAAAAGCAGTCTACGTTTCATTTCCATTAATTTAAGTTTCAAAACAGTTTTCCAGAAAGCCTTGAACAAATATACATCCATTTATTTATTCATTTGACAGAGAGAGAGAGTGAGCACAAGCAGGCAGAGCAGCAGGCAGAGGGTGAGGGAGAAGCAGACTCCCTGCTGAGCAGGGAGCCGGACGCGGGACTCTATCCGGGACTCCATCCTGGGACTCGATCCCGGGACTCCAGGATCATGCCCTGAGCTGAAGGCAGTTGCTTAACCAACTGAGCCACCCAGGCTCCCCTATACATCCATTTTTTTAAGGCATTGTCCTGTTATTTTCTGCCTTGGATCCTTTATACTGCTAATGATTTCCAGGACAATGAAAATGGATTGTTTCCCAGACTGTGGAAGAGAAGGATAGCCTTATAGCTGGTACCTAGAAACACAGTTGCTGAAATTTTTTCTCTTGGCCCCTGGTGCTATTAATTCAGGAAAAGCCAACTGGCAGTTTAAAATACTATTCTAGAATACCTGGGAAATGAAGTTGCTTATTCTTCCAGAGAAAGAGAAATCTTTGAGTAAAACCCAGGTTACCTGGCCATTTTCTTCATGCTCTTGTTTTGTAATCAGTGTAGATTTAGCCAGTGTAGGATGGTCTCTTTATGGTTTGGTGGTCTGGTGAGTCAGAAGATTTGAATGCTGGTCCCAGCTTTATGTCTTTGTGGATTCCTACTTAATCTTTTTGTGGTGCAATTTTCTTTACTTTAAAATGAAGGGATCGGATTATATAATCTTTAGGGAACTTTCTAGCTCTTAAAAATAATTCTAGAGTCTTTTATACAAGAGTTTCCTTCTCTTTCTCTCATATTTGTCGCTGTGCAGAAGTATTCAAGGTAGGGGCAGTAATTCACAACTACCTGAATGCCTGCCTCGTTATATGAGTGGCACTACATGGCAGCCTCTTAATAAAATATGTGCTTTGTGGGTGTTTTGGCATAATGAAAATTTGCTTTGAGTTCGCCTTACTGTTTGAACAGTAGCCACCAGCCATATGTGGGTAATTACATTTAGACTTAAATAGATTAAAATTAAAAATTTAGGTCCTCAGTTACACTTACAGCATTTCAGGTGGTCAATAGCCACAAATGGCCATTGGCTACTGTTTTAGATAGCACAAACACAACATTTCCACTTTGTCACAGAAAGTTCTGGTGGACAGTGCTGGTTTAAGGTGTAGTTTATGAGTGGAGTAAACTATATTCTTGCAGTTCACATTAACTGGCCTGTATGGGGTTTACATTTTCTTCTCTAGTCTTCTAAGGTCTTTTTAGGCCATTTTTTCCCAAATGGGGCTAAAAAACAAGTTAAGGTATTTTTATTAAGAATTATTTTTATAAGTATAGGCGCCTGGGTGGCTCAGTTGGTTAGGCGACTGC